AAATTACTTTTTATTAATCATCCTCTCTTACAACTACAGCATCAAGGAATGCTGCAGGTGCTGGTATTGTCGGCTGATGCCTGGCCCACCCAAGATACCACACAAGCGTCATAACATGTGCACAGCACCCAACTGTTCTTCTACCAACTAAACAATTGCAGCAATACTCTATTATAGCTTCCCTTCCAGACAAATTATTTTCAATTAATATACAAACATAATATACTTTTCTCGAAATGTGTCTGGATTTGATTTTGCCTCTTATAAGTGAATTATTTCCACTTCCTCTCAAACAATACTCTGTTACATTAATGTTTGCTTATTTCAATTCTATACCCTCCGTGAAACCTGACATGTTCACTATAATAGGACCTTGCCTATTGAATTTGATATGTTCCTAGGGCAAATAATATAACTTCACTATAGTACTATATATATATATATATATATATATATATGTATATATATATATATATATATATATATATACATATACACTATATATATATATATATATATTATATATATCTAGATGGGGGGAATATAATATTAGTATTGGAATGAGCTGTAATACTAGTAAAATCAGATGTTCGTCTATTCATATTCATACTATTTATAAAATCAGATAAATTATTATTTAATGGAAATGTTCTCTAATCACATTTATGATTTGCTCAGCATCATTCCTGTTTTTTAATCGAAGACTGAATTTATTTAAAATGCTTGCAGCTATGGAAAACATTTGCATCATATGTGGAACAGTTTTATTAAAAAAATCTTGCCGAAATCTCGTTTGAAGTACCCGTTAACAACTTCCACCACCCATCGGCATATGGTCACACAACGACTCCTGTTAGCTTGCTTAGTGGTGAGCTGATGTCCACCCTCAAGCAGGGATTCTGGCATATATGTTCTGTAGCTGCAAGCCTCTAACAAACTAATTGAATCTCTAAATCCCCTGTCTAGAATAAAAACATCGTTATTTTGAAAGTATTGTCTGAGAGGAGAGTTTTCATCTCTGAAAAGAGACTTCATTATATCTGCATCAGTTGTGGTAGCTTTGTATGGGCCAAAGCAGTCTACAATGTAGGGACAAGATGAAGCTGTAAGAGTCGCATAGACTAACAGCACTAACATCTAGATAATAGACAATGTAGCCATCAGGTGTCACCAGCAAAAATGGTTTTAACAAGTTTTTGTATTTATGTAAGGAATATGTGTCCTTTTGGAACATATAATTGGAACTTTTGTTTATAAAAATATATGTCCCATCACATATAACTATCGCATTTTCATTATTTTGATTATAAATTGCATTTGGAATCATTAAATTGTGTTGCAATAATTGCTCATATGATATGTGTTCAATTCCCAGATTTCTAGGCATAAAATCTTGTACCAATATTTCCCTAACCTTATCCATTAATCTTACTAATATTCGCCTTGGAACCATTAATAACTGTGATAACCGATCATTTGATTTACCAGTTCTCATCTTCATTAGAAGAGCACCTAAACCTAAAATGCCTCTATTTGTTTCCACAAGACGGGGTGTTTCATATAGTATAATTTCAAATTGTTGTTTATTCATTCCGAGCCAATAATGAAACAAATTCTCATCAATTCTTTCAACACTTTCCATATTCGAGAAATCAAGAAATGTGTTGAAAGCAATTTATAAAAGAAAGAGCATGTTTCACTTGTTCAGCCGTAAATGTTCTCAAATTATTTTGAGAATTGAACAACATATCCCAATCAGTACTAAGTGTATGCTCTACACAAATACGAGCATTTATAGGCAACTTATATTTGTGTTTGCTAAGAGTTGTTGCTCTTAGAGGGTCAGAAATTCTATGCAAATCTGTGTTCTGGCAACCAGAAAAAACACAATGTGCTGCAGTGCTTGCCGCTCGTCTATACTGCGGCAAACTAATCACCCGAGGTATTTCGTCATCTTGCTGGTCGGTATTTGGTGGGCTTTGAGGTTCTTGGGGTTGAGGCTCTGGCTCCTGCTCCAGCTCTGGCTCTGCTGCATATTGCGTGTTGCAACTCTCTTGAGTCTCAGCCAACAGTGATGACAAACATGCTCTGTTGAAGTTGCCTGAAACAACCATACAGCTTTGTCTTAATATAAATGTTTTGGCTAATTATTATTAAACCCGAGCAAACAGAAACACTTTTACAAACAATATATAATTGCAGTGATAAATTCACTATAACATTGATACCAAGACAAAACAAAAAAAAAGGTAATTATTACATGCCGTGGGGCAATTCTATTTTCAAGCTCAACATGTATTGCTTGTTGCAACTGAGATGGATTCTCTCTCACAACAACAACACGTTTACGAGTCCTCAGAGAACTTCCACAAAGTATGCAAACATGCTTGTGGCCACGGGAAGATGAGGCACCAGGTTCATTAGGTAACCCAGAGTTGACATGCTGTATTGCCAATTGCTGACAGGCATCACATACGTAATCTTCTTCAGTGATCTAAAATAAGAATTAGAGTTGTATTATGATGATGTATTATGTTAGTGTAATAAAATAAGTAGGTATGTAAATACGTACTATTATTGAAGAATTCGACTCGCAAATCTTGGAAATTACTCTTGCATCAAGCTCAAAAACGAGATGGTGGCGAAGTTTATCAATGCATATGTTACAATTAACACAAAGCAATCGCACACCTAGTTGTCTTTGTTGTGTTTGCATGATGTTTCTCACAATTATCCAAAATGTGAAAAAATCAGTCCGTAGAAAAATACCGAGGTCAAAACAACAGAAGGAAATAAGAAATAACCAATAATACTGGCGCGAATCGATGATCACAGAGTAAGCGATGACAAATGACGGTACGTTGTACATATGTAATGGAACAAAACGTTAAGCTTACTATGACCTACATAATTATTTTTATGACAAGAATCCAATACATAATAAATCAGCATAGTAGTTGATTTGATGTCTACATACTAATTGAATTAAATTAAAATTAACAACTATTTATAAAAACCTGAATAATTATAGTCTTTGAATACCAAGTCCTTTCACACACGAAATGAATCGTCATTAGGTGCGTTCTGAAACGATAATTTGAAATAATTTTGAACAGTTACAAAAATTGAAATAAATGGATAACTTTTTTTTGGGGCGACTTAGAGAGGTATTTCTAGTGTGTTTTAAGACCTTAAACAATAAGGATAATTTACATAAATATTTCATATTGGGACGCTATCATTTCGTTGTCTGGTACGATTTGGCCATCCTCTTTTAAGAAATCAAAATTCGGTTCCGTTTTGCTATTGTGTGAGCTACGACGCGTTCTGAGAGTTTTCTTCATAATTAGTGTTGATTTTGTTTGTACAAAATATTGACATCCCATTGAGACATGATTTGTAATTTTTATAATTTTCGATTATAATTGGCGATGACGTTTTTATAATTTTCGTTCGTTTGTCTGTCCGAGCTAATATTCGGAATGGCTGTCGATTTCGAAATGGAATGAACGGAATTACGGAAAACGAATGGAATTCGATTGTAATAAAACTTCTTGAACAAATAGAGAGTAATACCACAAATGTATTCGTGCAATGTGCGGGATGTCGCCAGATATTTCTTGTAAACCAGTATTTAAGAGACTTGGTATATTACCCCTCCCGTCACTATACATTTATGAAGTTAGTATGTTTGTCTTTAAAAATAAGTCATTGTTTATTAAAGCGAGTGATATATATCCCCGAAATCGACCGGACCCAGAAAAACTAGTTCTAGATATTATTCCTAGAATCATTAAATACAACAAAAGTTGCCTAAATATGTGTATAAAAATATTTAATAAACTACCTAATGAATTTAAATTATTAAGTGAAAGATTATTTAAGAAACATTTGTTTAATTGGTTAAAAACCGAATGTTATTATGACGTAAAAGATTTTTTAGACTGTAATTAATTAATATTGTTGATTCTATATTTGCATACTATTTACCATTGTTAGCGAAACACGATTGCACTAGACAAATTGTAAGATCTTTTTATACCGTGATTCTTGCAAATAAAAATTTATGATTATACCAGGAATGGCCTAAACTAGATTTTATCCAAATATTTAGAGATTTTATTAAGATTAAATAAATGGTCTTTAATGGTTATCTTAACTTAATAATAGTCTAAACATTAATAGATCCCACGCAAGCGAAGCCAGAGCGGGTCGCTAGTTATAAATGTTGTTTTAAAATTAAATTACCTACTTGCGTATATAATTCTTTTCAAATATTTTCCCATTAAAAGAAAATTTCCAATTAACCGAATACTATAACGATATACCGTTAGTAGGGGTTTTCGCTGTGGGTATTGATCATGTTGACGGTACGTGCTCGATGAAGCGCCATTTCTAATCCCATTCTTTATCCGTACGAACTGTATAAATAATATTACTTTTAAAAAATGTCCCGGTGGGTTTCTTGCTAGTTCTTCCTAGGACAGAGGTTTTTTTAATCGGTGGTAAAAGTAAATTACTTTCAATACACGTGTTTGTAATCTATATTTAAAAAAAATATTCCGTTCCCTTTGAGCTCAAGGTCGCTTAGCGAGCTATAAAGAGGGCTATGCCCGGGGTTTCTCTGCGATTTAAAAATGAGGATATCCGTAGTAGAACCGAAGTAACCGACTAACTTAACGGTTTAGTAAGCTAAAGTGGCAATGGGCCCGCCATAAAGCTCAAAGAACTGACAACTGATAAGGAAGAAATTTTCTCGAGTGGCAACCTTGTACGGGTAAGCGAACTGTAAGATGCCTCCATCCCCCCACTAGATGGAGTGGCACAGGACCGCGCTTAGTGGTGTTCCTTGGGGAGGCCTATGTTCAACAGTGGACTTGCGAAGTGCTGTAATAATGATGGTGATGATGATTCGATTCTATTCTAAAACAACACAATATTTGTCACTGTTATTTATATTCAAAACCACAGTTAACATAGATATTATATCTGTTTTGCAG